AGTGTTGAGGAAGAGCATGAGTTCTTTGCCGAGCTGAAACATCTTACAAAATGATTTTTGTAGAGATTTTAGACAAATAAAACAGTTATTCTACTTGTAGAAAACAAACAGTTGTTGTTGACACGAATTTAAAAGTAGTGTATCTTAATATGGCTAACTGACTGAGCTAAAAGAGGCTAACCTGTTAGCTACAGCTAGCCACAGAGCTACCCAGCTCAGTTATTTGTTCACCAGAAACAGATTGTTTTTCAGTCGGCCATTAGACACGCTAACGCTACAGATGCTCCCGACGCTACATGATGTTATTATCGTTGTCTGGGCAACCAAAACGTTTAACGTCATGTGGTAACGTTCAGCCAATCATCTGGTAGCTATACCGGTTCTATCGCAGCTGTGACCATTTGTTTGCTAACAATCTCTTCTCCTCCTCTTCCAGCAGAGCGGATCAGCTGAGAGCAGAAAGGAGCAAAAATGTCGGACGAGGAGGACATGGCTCCGGCCATGAAGAAGAGTCGCGTTTTCTACGGCAGCCTGGAGGAGAAGGAGCGAGAGCGCCTCACGCTGGAGAAGGCGAGCAATATGGTTACAGGAAGTGACGCCTTGAGGGCGGGCATCAAGGCGGGAAACATCAACATCTCATCAGGTGGGTCAGGGCCGCCTGCTGCTGGATAAATGACCGGACAGAAACGATCAGGGCTGATGAGGTTAGGACAGGAGATGTGGAATTAAATCTAAGCATAGATTTTATTCATTTATGTAGTTTTGGTGTCAATTAGGTCCTCATCCTGACAGTTTACGTTCCACATAAGATCACAGCTGCTATTTCTATGTTGAACTGGAGTAAAGTCCTCCTCATCCCCTCATTTATGTTTTTAAGTAGTGTGTCATCAGCATATAGTTAGATTTGTTGTAATGCACTGGAATCAGAGCTAAGGCTACCTTCACACCGCAGCCTGAAGTGAACCAAATCCGATTTTTTTGCCCATATGCGACCTGTATATGATCTTTTCATGGCAGTCTGAACAACACCGATCCGATTTTTTTTTTCCAATGCGACCCAGGCCACTTGGCTATGTGGTCCTGAATCCGATACAAATCCGATCTGGCCGTTCAGACACAGGTTGCATTCATCCGACCTGAACGCCACTAGTAGCCGACAAAGGTCACTATTCTGCGTCTTGCTATGAAGAAGCAGCAATAAAAACAACCACATGGAGGACGATGATGTGAAGTGCAGTATTTATGTTTAACCATCTAGAAAAGATTGAGTTTTTAAGGTTGGGAAAGATCGCTAGATGCGCTCCAGTACTATCATCCATGTTTACTTTCGTAAACTGAGAGTTTATGATGTCATTGCGTCCTCTACTGCGCATGCGGGACTCTTGCATTGTATAAATGCAGTTCACACAGGAGATCACATACAAGTGGCGTATATTTGGCAATATGAACGGCAACGCAAAAAAATCATATTTCACAAAAAATCGGAATTAAGCATTAAAGTCGTAGGGAAGCGGCTGTTCCAATCATTGCATTTCCGAATTCTCCCGAGTGGTGCCCGACTTTACACGAGTGAATAAAGTGAATGTGATTGGTCGATTATCAAGGGGGCGGGATTGTTGTGGCGGAAGGTTCACAAGCATTTTTGGTTGTGACCGATGTCTTGGAAGCATCTTGCTAACCAGTTAGCAACTTAGTGCAAGTAGGTTCCCTATGGAATTTCCCATTAGGAACCTGCTAGCACTAAGGCTTCCCACAAACCGGCCACAATCACACTTTCTTGCAAACCTTCTGCCACAACAATCCCGCCCCCTTGATAATCGACCAATCACATTCACTTTATTCACTCGTGTAAAGTCGGGCACCAATCGGGAGAATTTGGAAATGCAATGATTGGAACGGCCGCTTCC